ACCCGACCTGTTAGTAATAATCATGCAAAATTTGAAGTAAATCCATGCAGCACTTTTTGAGTTCATCCCGGACATACAGACAAACAGACAAAAATGATAAAATCCATATTTTTGGTTTCGGTACCGACTGTGGCTGACGCCTCAAGTATTCTTTGAAAAAAATATTAGTAGTATAGTTTGATGTATAGTTTTCACTTTCCTACGATTTTATTATATGTATAGAATAGATTTCAGTCATTTCTCGTCATGTTCTCGCTTCCTGTTTTGTTCCGAAAAGATAACCAACATAACCAAACTTCTGTCGTACATATTAATTTATAGCTTTGAAAATTGAATGCAAATAATCCTTTACCACGTAGCTCTACCTGTGAGCTTTGTCTTAGTTTCAGAAATCCAAATCCAGACCCATTTATTTACACTAATTCGTATTACCTACAAAAAAAAATCTTACCATAACTGAACGTATGTACAAACGTCGCGTCGTCCATTTTTCAAGTCGGTTATTGACAAAGAATTTTGTATTGGGAAATACCAATAGTTGATACCTTATTCAATCCGTAAATTAACTCCCACATTCAAGCACTCAGCAGTCTTAATAATTGGTTTAGTAAACTATTAATGTTAATTCTCGCTACATATTAATTACTTAGTCGTGTATAGTAAATTTAAATATTTATACCAAATGTTCAATGCTCTTAATTTTGAAGTCATTTACAAAATTAGCCGTTTACAAATATTCGCAATTTAATTTTACTTCCAACTTATATTGAAATCAGTATGCGTATTGATAAAGCTACTTTAGACTTGTTATTTTACTCAAATCCGCAAACCAAATTACCTTCAGAATGAAAGCTAAAACACTACCACTATTTCAAGCATAATCAGCTGTTTGTCACTATTATAGGACCATTATGAATATCGAACTGTACTGTGTATTTAATCAGCGTCCATTAAATAATGATGAAGACAATTAAGTAAATTATTTTTAAATTTCCACTGTTATTCAGTAATTGAACTAGTTCTAAATTGAAGTTGAGAAAAGTCGAGTTAAGTCGATAGTTGTATGTGTAACATAGGTTTTATTTTCCCGTTTCCTTACTATGCAATAAAACTTGCCTACCATATTTTCCTAAATAACAGAAAACGGCGTCCACATACAATATTTTTTTTTTTAAATATTTCTGTGCTTCTATGCCTATGCATATGCTCCTATGGGTAAGATCGCAAACGAACTCCGAGTTACCATCGAGGTGGTATAAAAAAAACGTTGGTTCGCGAACTTTTTTTTACGAACTATATATTTATTTTCACGCTTCCTTCCTTTTATTTACTTTAACTTACCTAATATTATAGCGAAAAGCAAAAGAGTGCTTGTTTTTGTTGAACGTAGCGACTTTGTAGTTTAGTTTTTATGTCAGTCGATAGATAGAAGAGCGGTAAACGCTTCGTGTTGTCGCGGAGAACCTAACGGGTAACCGGGGCTCCGGCTCGACGTGCAGAAGGAACGGGGTGGTTTTTAGTCAGTAAGAGTCTGACACTCCCTCCCACCTTACCCAGGCGGGAGCAGTAATTCGATGATATTCCCGCCTTAAAAAAAAGGCGACGTGTTTCCTTTTACCACACACTATTGATAAAACAGAACGAAGTAGAAGTAACATCTATAAAATAAAATCGTAGATAAGTCAAAATGGTACATTGAATATTTTTTAAAGAATACTTGTGGCGTGATCTGCAATCGATACCGATGCCAAAACTATGTTGTTTGGAATTTTTGTCTGTATGTATATCCGGGATTATCTCAAAAAGTACTGCATGGATTTACTTCAAATTTTGCATGAATATTACTAACAGATCGGGTTAACATATAGGCTACAATATTATCACGCTATCATCTATGCTGGAGGAGCCCTATACTAGGTACTTAATCAATTCTGACGACATTCGTTACCATAGAATATCTCTTGACAAAGACTGATTCAAAAGCATAAATCCTGCCAGAAGTCATTATTCGACACGGACGAAGTCGCGGGCAACAGCTAGTAGTTACTATAAAACAAAGTGAACGTGCTTGTTTTCCCATTAGTCCAGGTAAATTCCCACTGACCATTCCTATAAGGATATTGAGTTATCTACACAATCTTCCTTTGAAGAAGTCACACAACTATTATAAGCCGCCAGAACTGTCAAACAATGCAAAATAGATGCTAATAAGCTATATGGGATACAGATCATGTATATATAACATGTTAAGTATACATATGTAATGTGTATTTACTATATTTGTGCCTCACTGCTAAGATGGTGATGGTGAGCAACGATGTGATATTACTGGTTTCTTGAGACGAACCAAATATTTGAGATTATAGCTGCAAGATGTTTTGCCGCTTTTGCGGCTTGCCCGTGAATTAGCATGCTACATACATACATAACATCACGCCTTTTTATCCCCGAAGGGGTAGGCAGAGGTGCACATTACGGTACTTAATGCCACTGTACAAT